TTTGTGGGTGTTGCGTTGACTTCCCCTCCTGCAGTCACACAAGATTCCCTGAGAATGCTCGGCTTTGAAGGCCCACTAATGAAGTCATTAATTGAACAGAGCCTTTGATAACTGCAAAAAGGCTTTTTGTGTGTGTTCCAGCAGCACTTTCCCCCACTGATGTTTCTCAAAACGTAATCCATCATGTTCATGTTGTGAAGACTCAAGGTGAATGTAATAAAGTGCCAGTTCACACACACACAGCAGACACCGGCAACCGGCTTCACACTGTGGGTTGAAGCAAAAACAACCTGTAGCATCTTAAAGAAGACTGGAGACCCTCTCTAGTCTATATAAAAAGGTTTTTTCCATATGCGAAGACCACAGGGGAGTTTGAAGTGTAAGAAAATAGCAGAACATATTAAGAAACACGTTAGAGAGGATGAAATTAGATAAGACAGAACCTTAAAACACAGCTGCATGCCATTTGGGTTATAAACATTGATGCTGGGTGAGCGGAAGTGACTAGTTTTGTTCAATTGGAATATAATTGTTGAGTAACAAATGTAACTTTCCGCATGGAAAAAGGAACAAAATATTATTATATTTAGAAAGACTTCTGTAGCATCTTAGAGAGTCAGAGTGCACCTAGGCTGTTACTATTTTCATGTGGGATTCAACCACATACCAGAAAATTTAATGAGCAGTTAATGTGTGTGTGTGTGTGTGTGTGTGATGATTTTAGTTCACAAGGAACGTGTTATGTACTGAGCTAGGATCCTAGACCAATAGGCAGGTAGGATCCTAGAATGCAATAACCGGATTGGCCTGCAGGAGCAGCCCAATCAGGCTCCAGCAGGGAAGCAGAGTCAGCCAATCACACGGGACCCATTGTGTAAATAATGTATATAAAGCCTGACGGGTTTTTTTTGGGGGGGGGACTTAATTCACTGTTACGAGATGCCATACAGAGCATGAAATCACTATGCGACTCCGAGTATATTTCAGAAGGGCTTTTAGCACCTCCCCTCTCACATAGGGAGCTATGATGGTATTCCTGGTTGGAACACCATCAGTCCAGAGCGATCCATTAGCAGCTGCTATCAAGTTGTGTGCTTCCTCTCACATTAGCACCTCACCCGGAAAGTCTTTGATCATTTCCAAAGAAAGGGCACTTTTACAATCAGTTAAAACATGCTCCTCCACTGCTCAGGTGATGCTCTTTTCACTTCCCTCAGTTGTCATTGCCTCTGCCAGTCTCCAGTGTCACTTCCCATGCGACTCTCGTATCAAGCGAGTAACCACCCTGGAAAGTTGTGGCAATCCTTTGTGCCTGCTACCTCTCCTCTTATATAGTCCTCAGTTGCTGGGCACAGACTCTCCACCTGAGTCTTGGCTCCATCGGTTTCAGGTGCTGACCTGGCCCTTAACTGGCTTCAGGTGGTGAGTCATGAGCTCTCAGTCTGGCACTCCTTCATAACAGTTGCCTCAGCTGTTCTGCCCTCTGCCTTCTGGCCCTTGGAGGCAGCAGGGGTGGGGAGTTATGCTTCTCCAGCATCCTTTAAAAAAAATAAAATTATTCAATTTTACAAATATATTTTAAATTCAAATATCAGTCATACTCTTAAACAAACTAGGATTCCCTGAATCCTAAGACTTCTTTGTTAAAAAACCAGAAGCTTTTTTATTAGGTATAGTGGGTAGAGAGATACCGAGACAAGATAAAAAATTATTCTTGTATGCAACAACTGTGGCAAGAATTTTGTTAGCTCAAAGATGGGAACAACAGGAGTTACCAACAAAAGAAGAGTGGCAGATGAAAATGATGGACTTTGCAGAACTGGAGAACTGATGAGAAGAATCCGGAACCAGCAAGACCAAGCATTCCAAAAGGACTGGAACAAATTTATATTATATTTGAAATACAACTGTAAGCAATTAACAACATTAGCAGGGTTATCTGAAGATCTGTAAGGTGAAATTGCTACCTATTCAGGTTGAGTAATATAATATTTTAGGTAATGATATAACAAGGATAGGAAACGAAGCAAAATGTAAAGATGTACAATTTAATTTTGTAAACCATCAGACGAGAGGGAGGGAAGTCCTTAGGCTCAGTTGAGCCAAAGAGATAAAACAAGAGGATACGATGTTACGTAATGTGATTATATGTAAAACCAATAAAAATCATTTATAAAAATCCTAAGACTTCCCTCCACCCCTCCATGGTTTCCGTTTTTAGTCTTTTTCAACTGTATCTTATATAATATCTTCCATTTTTTCTTAAAACTCTTACCATAGTTCTTGTTACAAGTGTTATAACAATCCTGCCACTGTTTTTAGTTCTTTACAGTGTTCTCCAAGGTAACTTATAAATTTTCCCCTATTAAAGTTCTTGTCTTCTTGATTTCTGATTCTCCCGGTCATTTTCCCCATTTCAGCATAGTCCATCAGCTTCTCCAGCATCCTAGCCTCCGTGTTGGAGGGCTGTGGGATCTCTTCTTCTCTTCTTCCTGCTCTCCCATTGGCTTCTCATCCACCACCTCCTCTGATGCCCTTCCATGTTCCACTTGGGTGCTGAGGTCTCCTGGCCAGAGTCCCAAGGGCCCCCAGTAGCTGCTGGTGTGTCTTCCTCTGGGTCATCCTCTATCTGCCAGAACTGTGGCCCCCACCGCTCCACAACAGGAAGTGGGCTTGTTGTGCAAGGCATCCCAATTGACTATACAGTGGTACCTCGGGTTAAGTACTTAATTTGTTCTGGAGGTCTGTACTTAACCTGAAACTGTTCTTAACCTGAAGCACCACTTTAATGGGGCCTCCTGCTGCCGCCACACCACCAGAGCATGATTTCTATTCTCATCCTGAAGCAAAGTTCTTCGAGGTAATATTTCTGGGTTAGCTGAGTCTGTAGCCTGAAGCGTATGTAACCTGAAGCGTATGTAACCTGAAGCGTATGTAACCCGAGGTACCACTGTAATTGTTCAATATAAATTTGCTGGGATGTGAGCACCAAGTGTGGCTGAGGGCTCCCATGAAGGAATGCTGTTCCATACAAGAAAAATCCCGTCTATTAAAAATAAAATGCTGGAGGAAAGTGTTAGCAATTCATTTAAATCATGCTGACAGAGTCCAGAGAGGAAAGTCTGGATATTACTTTACTGAGGAAACTGGACAGAAAAAGAGTGTGTAATTTGTAGAGAAAGGAACGGAGAGGTTTTGTCATTCTTAGTTTAGACCAGTGGTTCCCAATCCATTTTTTTGGCCATGCCCCAACTAAGCATCTCTAAAATCCTGATTACCCTGCCCACCCCCGTGACATATAATTCTTATTATTCAAAAAGTGAACTCCTATTCACATGGAGGAAGCCTAAAAGGCCATTAACTTGGTCTAACTCATTCCCAAATTGCCCCCCTTAAAAATCAAATTGCCCCGTTGGGAACCTTGTACATAGGGAGCCCTTTTTACTAAACAGAGGGAAGACATCCTCAGAACCACACAGCCAATCAGAACACGTGCTACCTCAGTGAAGATCATGTCACTCTGCTTGGTTGCTAAGCAACACCCCCCTCTTGTTTAGCTGATGTACTGGTAACAGAATTAACCCTTAAATTGCAAAGAGAATGATCCCTGCTGTTGGCCTTTCAACAGGGTGGTGTTTCCACCCTACCCTTCTCCCTGATGTGCTAGATTTCTACAAAGGGTTCTTCTTTTTGCTTTGATATGAGGAGAGTTCTGTCATTTCAGACCTCACCTGCAGTCTGCATTGATGCATCTCACATACAGGATTACCTCCTTAACCTGCCGCCTGTGAAAACCAGGCCTATATCCAGAGAAAGTGATTGTTGTAAGTGAGGATGGCATACCAACGTTTTAATAAAGAACTACAAGAAGAAACAGAAGGCAACAGTGACTTAAAAATAACTGGTTTAATAACAAATCAGCTAGACCACAGCAAAGCAGTCACTTGGGTGATCTGGAAAATTCAGCTTGTTTTTTTTAACTCTGCAGTTTGATTCAACTAGAGAACTCGCTCATGAGTTCAAATCTACCTCAAGTCTTCTAAAAGCTGGAACTCTTGACACCAACTGCTTTCAGTAGGCACCTTCTACATACTACATCCCAACGACTTTTGTTAAGAAAGATAGAAAAGGAAAGAAAACCAAGCGGCCTTTCTAAGTCCACCTCAACCATGTGTGTGTGTATTAATTTCTTTTATTTTACATCAGCCACATTACATCTTCTTGAGGCCCTGGCATTTTCTCTTCCTGTAGAAATGTCAACAAACCCAGTCATCTAGTTTCCAAGGATCTTCGGCTCGCCTCTCTGCAGCAAGACGCCGGAAAAATTCTAGCGGTTTCCGGAAACCAAAGGGCACCCCCTTCACTTAAGAAATAGTCGCAGATTGAAACGGAGAAGCTCAGTCGACGTCTCTTGGATTGATGCCCTTGGAGAACCGGCCGTAGCTGCTACTCCTCACTCCCCTCCCCTCTTTGCTTTCTCAGGCAGATCTAAGGATTAACCCCCACCCCTATTCCCCCCTTGTTACCACTAAGCCAAGAACACAACACGAGCCAGAAGTCTGGCTTATTGGCCAAACAGGCCCTACCTACCAACTCACAACACTTGGCCTAACATTTAGTTGTCACGCTAAAGTACCCACACAAACCACAGTGACTTCCCAAGCTTGGTTTTTTTTTTTTTGTGGGGTGGGGGGAGGCTGCCGTTAAGTACCAACCCCCTTCTGCACCCAGCCACTCTTCCCTGCCTGGGTCCGCTTCTCTCACCAGTCCTGTCCCTCACGTTCCACCCGCGAACACCAAACAGCAACACCATCAGAGGTAGAGCACAACCTGTACCCCGGATACAGATCTCATGCATCCCCCATTCTGGACGTCAACAAAGAAAACCAATCCCACTACTGCCACCACCATCACCATTTGCTGCTCATCTGTGCCTCCCCCTCCCCCTTCCTCCCATGGGGCATAGCCTCTAGGAAAGTGGGTCCCCCAGAAACCCCATCCTACGTGGCCCCCTCACACTCCCCCACAGTGAGTTTCAAGGCTCCTTGCTGGTGCAGCGCCTTCAGGGCTTTGAACTCCAAGGGCATGGTGTGAGGGCTGGCCTGCGATGTGTAGCCATATCTCAGAGTGTCATAGTAGTGATACTTCACGGGGTTCTGGTCTTGATCTCGAGGAAAGGGCCAGAAGCCGTAGAGATGGATCCGGTTGCAGAAGCGAGTGGCCAGGGTGTACATGAGCAGTCCGGTGGTTGGGCGTTTTATGTACACTTTGTTTGTCAGCCAATACCTAGGAGGGAAAAAGAGAAAAGAAGGCTGGAACTCATCGCCCAAGGAAAGTGAACTGCGGCGGGTCAAGGACAGACAAAAGGAAAATGCTGGCCACATCCACTGTGTAAAATTAAAGCACTCTTAGACAACTTCAGCAGTCAAGAAGACTCCTGGGAACTTCAGTTTAAGGGTGCTGAGCTCACAGAGCTATAAATCTCAGTCCACCCTCTTCTTTCTTCTCTTCCCTCTGTGTTGGTGCTGACCTTTAAAGCCCTAAATGGCCTCGGTCCTGTATACCCGAAGGAGCGTCTCCACCCCCATCATTCAGCCCGGACACTGAGATCCAGCACCGAGGGCCTTCTGGCAGTTCCCTCATTGCGAAAAGTGAGGTTACAGGGAACCAGACAGAGGGCCTTCTCAGTAGTGACACCCACCCTGTGGAACACCCGCCCTTCAGATGTGAAGGAAATAAGCAGTTATCCTATCTTTAAAAGACATCTGAAGGCAGCCCTGTTTAGGGAAGTTTTTAGTATTTAATGCTGTACTGTTTTTAACATTTGATTGGGAGCCGCCCAGAGTGGCTGGGGAGACTCAGCCAGATGGGCAGGGTATAAATAATAAATTATTATTATTATTATTATTATTATTATTATTTCCTGGGAATCTGTCTCTTTAAGGCAAGGATGGGGACTCCGAGGCCGGGAAGAAATTTGATTCAAATTGACCTCATTTGCACTTTCTGAAACTCTAAGCGATCTGAAACACAGCCATTCTTCAAAATGTTCACACCTCCAAATTTTGCAGTTACAGTTCTTCAGCCAAATCATGTGTATTGACAATGCAATTTACTTGGGTAAATGCATCTCTTAGTGAAAATGACATACAAAAATGCATTATATAGGGAAAATAGTGCGTGTGTGTGTGTGTGGGCTTGCACATGTGCATATGAGAAACATTGCAAAAATGTTTATATTAGGCAAAGGTGTGTACAAAATTGTGTGTGTTAGGAGAAATTTGCACTAAAATGCTGGAGAATAATCACAAGGATTTGTTTATTTTTAATCACAAACCTGTAGACCTGTGGAAAACTGAACTCGTTTGGAAAAATGGGAAATTGACAGATTTGCCCCTCCTTAGTGTGTTGCAGGATCTCTTGAGGTTGGTGCAGAGGGAGCACTGAAGGCAGAACGTTTGAACTGGGGAGGGAAAATATCCTGGCTAGACTTCTAAATGAGGAACAAATTGCTGCATTATCTCTTTCTTCACACTCAGGTCAGCTTTGACACTGTCCATGTAGGTGCCAAGCACAGCTCTCCTGTTTTGCAAAACAGCTGAGGACCGTAAAGAAAGCTAATTAATTTTGCAGACCCAAACGAAGGTGCCTCAAGTGCACATGGGATGCTACATCAACGGTGCACCTTTTGCTGCTGGAGACTCCAGGTTTTAATTAGGAAGGGAGCCTGTCTTGAGGAAGACTGTAATTATTTCCCCCCACTGCCGCCAAATTGGCCACACCAATCAGCCTTGCTGTTGAAGCCTGAGGTTTGTGTCGACTCAGGAAGCTGGAAAAAGGGCTGAGGACCTGCTGTTTGATACCTCTTTTCAGCAAGCCATAGTGGCAGGGAGTATTTTCTTCCGAAGCCAGAAAAAGAGAATTTGTAAAAATAAATATCTGATAATAGGGACACGGGTGGCGCTGTGGGTTAAACCACAGAGCCTAGGACTTGCCGATCAGAAGGTCGGCGGTTCGAATCCCTGCGACGGGGTGAGCTCGCGTTGCTTGGTCCCTGCTCCTGCCAAACTAGCAGTTCGAAAGCATGTCAAAGTGCAAGTAGATAAATAGGTACCACTCCGGCGGGAAGGTAAACGGCGTTTCCGTGCACTGCTCTGGTTTGCCAGAAGCAGCTTAGTCATGCTGGCCACATGACCCGGAAGCTGTATGCTGGCTCCCTCGGGCAATAAAGCGAGATGAGCACCGCAACCCCAGAGTCAGTCACAACTGGACCTAATGATCAGGGGTCCCTTTACCTTTTAAATATCTGATGGGGGCTCTTTAAGGGCCCCCAAGAGATCCTTTTTATTGTGCACCCCTGATGATTTTCTCATGTTGACATAGAAACAAGAGAAGAACCTTCCTTCTCCCCATTTCTGATTCCCAGCAACTGTTATTCAGAGACACATTGCCTCCAGCAGTGGAGGTAAGGCCCCCTGGCATCACAGTGACTTAGAGACCCCTCCGGACTGCTGTCCCCCACCCCCACTGCCCCATGCATGTACTGCAACGAGTCACTGATGCAACACTAGTGCATTAGTGGTAGAGTTACACCCAACCACCCACCATTCTGCTTTCTTAGCTCTCCTGCACTGCTTTCCAGCATCCCTGCATTGTTGCCACGGGACACTGCTGTGCTAAAGCGCAACAAACGTAGGGTCAACTGGAGTATGAAAAGGTAAAATGACTTCAGCAGGAGGTTATGGGGCATGCACTGATTGCAAACGAAGCAGCAGGTCTGCCCCTAAACCTTTGCGGCAGCTAGACTGGTGACTGGGGGCGGCCACCAAGACCACATAACATTGGCTCCCAGTACGTTTCCAAGCACAATTAAAAGTGTTGGTGCTGACCTTTAAAGCCCTAAATGGCCTCAGCCCAGTATACCTGAAGGAGCGTCTCCATCCCCATCGTTCTGCCCAGACGCTGAGGTTCAGCGCCGAGGGCCTTCTGGTGGTTTCCTCATTGCGAGAAGCAAAGCTACAGGGAAGCAGGCAGAGGGCCTTCTCGGTAGTGGTGCCTGCCCTGTGGAATGCCCTTCCATCAGATGTCAAAGAGATAAACAACTACCTGACATTCAGAAGACATCTGAAGGCAGCCCTGTTCAGGGAAGTTTTTAATGTGTGATATTTTAATTATTTTTAATTTTTGTTGGAAGCCACCCAGAGTGGCTGGGGAAACCTAGCCAGGTGGGCGGGGTACAAATAATAACAACTTCTTCTTCTTCTTCTTCTTCTTCTTCTTCTTTGCAGGCACAAACAGTCTTGAAAGCTCTACCTCAGAGTTTCCCAAAGTTGAATCTCCAGCTGTTATGGACGACAACTCCCACCATCCCTAGCTAGCAGGAACAGTGGCCAGGAATTATGGAAACTGTAGTGCAAAAACAGCTGGAGACCCAGGTTTGGGAAACCCTGTTCTACCTTCACTGTCAGAGGCAAGATTGTCAGTTGCTCGGAAGCACAAATGAAGAGAGAGGTGCTGTTGTTCTCAGGTCCTGCTTTTGTGAACATCTGGTTGGCCACTGTGAGAAGTGGATTCTGCATGAGATGGGCATTTGGCCTGATCCACAGGCTCTTCTTATCTTCTTAGACCCTCACCTGGAGAGTGCACTGGTCAACTGGGTATAGAAGGGATGGGATGATCTCTTGGGGCCCTTGTTACCTGGGCAGGAGGATGCCATGGCATCTTGGGTGCAAAGGAGCAGCACTGTGTAGTCATCAACCATCTGTTTGCATCCTTCTTGCCTTCCCTCCCCATTGGAGCAGAGTGACATATTATACATGCCCACAAGACAGCTGGTCATCTTGCTGCCTTTTTGGCTGCAAGCGTGGACCTTGTCCGTGGCTTGGAGCTCTAATTGAATTAGCTCTTCCGAGCCCCAGCTGTTGGCTCTCCTCATCCCGCCTTCCCATCTTATTCATTACAGCGCGGACGTGTCTTTGCAACAGACAAGCCCTCTGCGCTTCTCTCGCCATCTGACCTGCTAGCCTGCGGCACCGTTTCATGGGCGGAAAACCAAACAAGCAGAGAAAAGCAACCCTTTGACGGACAATGTACACAGAAGATTTGTCAGCTGGACAGCCGGTTCCAAATTTAGATGCAAGAATCTTCCCCGCTGTCACCAATTCCTCCCCCTCCTCCCCCCCCCGTGGCATAGCCCAGGTGGCTTTCAAGGCCCCCAAAATACAACAGCTGTTGAATTTCTGCTAGGCAATGCCTTAAAGGCACAGGTCCCCTGCCAGAAACAAAGAGCTGGCAGTCCTACTCAATCTCTACCATGATCTGCACAATTACACTTTGGCCCCATATCTTCCTGGCTCAGGATGAGTCAGAAAAGGAGATCCAAATCTGCTCATCCTCCACCTTGTCTGCCCTGGTGGCGCCTCCAGGGATCCAGGGAGCCTCTCCAAATTGCAGCAAGCCTGGCTGATAGCTTATGGCACGAGGCGACAGATGCAAGCACAGGTTTAGGAACCAGTTGATATGCAAAGCTTCTTTCATGAAATCCACTTAATTACAGCTTGGAAAAGAGCAGATTTGAGTAACAGACCCTTGTTTCCCTTCCGGTCCACCCACCCACCAACCTTCTCCTTGCTGTGGAGATGTAGGATTACGCCGGTGCCAAATTTACATATAAGCTAAACAAGCTATAGCTTAGGGGCACACTCTCTTGTGGGGGGGGGGGGACAAAAAAAATTTAAAGGGGAAAAAACCCTGGATGTACATTTCCAAAATATAAGATAAAAAGCAAATAAAATAAAACCTACATACAGGAACAGTGTTTTGTGTTGTGTAGGCTCCTATGATGTAAGTAATGGGCCCCACCTGCTAGTCTGCTCCCTAAAATATCACTGGTTTGCTCATTTCTATATATAGGGTGCCTACATTCTGCATGTGCAAATGGCTTTAGATACCTATTAGGTCCATAAATTACCATATAGCATATATTCAACATAAAAAACAGCGGCAATTTGTTGTTGACAAAGGACAGCTGGACATATAAAGGGCCCCATTACCTTCAATAGCTTAAGGCCTCATCATACCCTGGGTTAAGCCTACTGCAAAATGGAATCTCTCTCTCTCGTATGTTTAGCTACTGTTGACAGTGTCATTCCTGTTGGCAGACAGAGCAAAACTTCACCTGTTGTGGGCTAGTGGGTTCTCCTGTGTGTGTTGCTGGAGCCATTCAGGCTTGTGCACCTGCATGCAATGGGCTGTGATTCCTCTTCTGCTTTTCCTTGTGTTGGCAACAAGGAACAGAGCCACAGCCAAGGGTCGAAATCCCCACCTGTATCTCCTACCATAGATGACGCGGGGATTAATTCATGCATATATGTGTGCATCAATATTTAGTGCCGATCCACACATTCAGAGTAAACATGCTATTTAGCCTGGTATAGGAGCCAGGGAACACCATACATTTAAAGTACATCCCTCCCTAATAGTTTGCCAAGGGTGCTGGGAATTGTAGTTCTTTGAGGGGTAAACTACAGCTCCCAGGGTTCTTTAAATGTACGATCTGTATAGAGTTATGTGTGCACATCCCTTCTCTAACCCAACCAACAAACCTCCCTGCACATAGAAATATAGCTCATGAAGAACTACCCTTGCACTAGTTTTTAGCTCTCTCTTTTTCTTTTTTAAAATGAGCATGGCATTTGAACATGAAGCAAACAATCTCAGAACATGCTGTTTTGCTGAAGGCTCTGAACGGTGTACAGTTTTTAGAAGCCATCTCTCAAAACTGAATTTGTGAGTGTCATCCCTGATGGGAGATGTGAGGCAGGCTTGGTTTAACTGGGATGCCTCTGCTGGGACTTCATCTTTGATCAGTGCCACCAGAGGATGGCCTGGGAAGAGGGGCGTTGCTTTTTCCTTGCAGGCTGTTTGTCTGCTGATCAAAACCAAGCAAGCATGGAAGCAAGGTACCCCTTCAAACTGCTTTATCTTCCAGCAGGGGAAAAAGATACGTAGAGCTGGTATATAATCCCCTACACGTTAAAACAACAACAACGACACACAGTTGGGTGTTGGTGATTTTGTTCAGTAAAACAGCCCACAAGGAAAGTTAAGCACCCTTTTCTCTCTGCATCTCTGCTCAAATTCAGATAAATACATGCTAATGCAGGAGTAAGGAACCTATTTTGGACTGAGGTCTGGATTCCCTTCTCAACAACCTGTTGAGGGCCACATGCTAGGAGTAGACAGGGCCAAAGCCAAGGTGGGCAGAGCAATGAAGGTGAGTTTTATTCTTGTAAAGCAGGGCCTGTGAGGGGCATGGCCTAGAGAGAAGAGGTGTGGCCTGGGGAATAGAGAAGCTTGGAGGGCTGGATTTGACCCCAGGGCTTGACGTCCCTCACCCCACATCCCTGCACTAAAGCATTAAAGACGAAGACCACCAGGAACTGCTCTGCATGTCTCCCAAGAGCCAAATTTTGAGGGCCTTTTTGGCCCGGGGTGCAGAGTTCCTCACCCTCTGACGGCGTGCAGCAGCCGCAGGGATGGATAGGCGGTGCGGACGTTGATGCGGTGCTTGAGGATGAGCTCGTTGACCCACTCCACACGCTCCTTGCCTCCTTTGGCCATGAAGGCTGGGATCCAGAGGATGCTGCCGTTGAGGCTGTGCAGGCGCTGGAGCAGCTTCTCCCGCCAGGTATCGTTCACCAGGTCCTCGAAAGCACGCTGGATGACCGATGGGTTCATGGTCACCAGATCTGTCTTGGTCCCCACGTCCCGGGTGTACTCTTGGACCGGGGCGAGGTTGCACCTGGAAGGGGAAATGTCAGGGCACACATCCAGGAAGTGGACATTAGAGCAGGCACCAAAAGAGGGTCTGAAATGATCAGGGAATGGGTCTATTTTTTGGCGAGGAAAAAACCTTTCTGACCCGAGGGTTCCATTCCTTTCCGGGAAACTTCCTATGGGTTTCATGTCAGGAGTGGTGGTGCATGAGGCCATGGGCAGAAGAAGGTTGCCCAGCCAAGAACGTGGCACTTGGACAAGGAATCCCACCTCCCTGTGTAGCATGTCAGCAATGGTCACCATCTTATCTTGAAGCACTGGTAAATCCACAAGAGGGATGAAGCGCCTCAGCCCCCATTGCTTCATGCTTCCTTTCCCATTGTGTAAAAGTCATACAGACAACCCACAGAAGTTAAGAACAAGGCAAGAAGAGCCATGCTGGACCAGACCAAGGGACATATAGTCCAGCATTCAATTCTCACAGTGGCCAACCACATGGCCCAGTTGGGAAGCCCACAAGCAAGACATGAGCACAATAGCATTCTTCTGCTCAGTTTCCCAGCAACTGCTCTGTCTGATCATGAAGGTGATACAGCCTTCATGTAGTGGTGTAATAGTCTGGAGTCCTTGGAGGTTGAAGACCCTTTACTATTTCTTAATCAGGGTACCTGCCCCCGGCATCCTAGAGCTGCCCAGTCAGCATGAAAGGGGAGCTTTTTAGCCACCGTATGTGGCTAAATGAAGCATTTAGGAACACTCAAAACACAAGGGGCTTCCGTTTCAAGAGAATGGTGTTCAAGTTCTGTTACGTACAGTGGAACGTCAAAAAAAATGCATATTAATTCACTCCGAAAGAAGATACTGGAGCACTGCAAATCGTTTGCCCATGTATGTGCATGGAAAGTTGCTGAAAGGCAACACATGGAGATCTGCACTGATGCATCTCTACACAATGCATCTCTTATTATTATTATTAATGTGATTATTGTATAATTACAAGATTACTGTATAATTTTGGCAGGCGGTATCAGCTTAGAAAAGGTGTGGCTGTAAGTGGGGAGTGGCTGTGACTGTCATGCACTTCTGAATTTCTCACTAAACTACTGCCTTCAAAGCTTCAAAGCCTCATCCTCCGTGAATTTGTCTACCCCCCTAATCTATTCTGCCTTTGACTAGATGATCCTTGGGGTTCTCTACCAAGTCTACGGTTCATTTAAATGCAAACAGAATTGGATTTCTCCCCCACCCCTAGTTGAGATGCATGGTTTGGTTGGGGGTTATTTTAAAGAGAAGGGCCTTCTTCAAAGCTGAGTGCTGCTTCATGGAAACCACCATTACCTTATCACAAAGTTGTGAGCATCTATCTCCTCTCCACAGCTGCTGTTCAACAGGATGCCTGAGTTGCCCACAATGGCGCATGTCCGAAAGTGTTTGCCTTTCAGTGGTGAAGTCCTGGGCAGGAGGGCGTAGAGGTTTTGGGAAACGTTCATTGTGCTGTCTCTGTCAAACACATAGTGGATAATATCCCCAGGCTTGAGAGTTCCCTTGAGCACTGAGATGTCTTTTTCAGCATCCAGAAATTTCAAGATGTGCTTTCTTTTTAAAAGAAAAAAGGAGGGAGGGAGGGAGGGAGGGAGGGAGAGAGGCAATAAGTCTAGTTAGGAACACAGGAAGATGTCTTCAACTTGGTCAGAATCATTGTCCTTCTAGCTCAGCATTGTCTACACCAGGGTTGGTAAACCTTTGGTCCTCCAGCTGTTGCTGGACTAAAAAGGTAAAGGACCTCTGACCATTAGGTCCAGTTGTGGCTGACTCTGGGGTTGCGGCACTCATCTCGCTTTACTGGCCGAGGGAGCCGGCATACAGCTTCTGGGTCATGTGGCCAGCATGACTAAGCTGCTTCTGGCAAACCAGAGCAGAGCACGGAAACGCCGTTTACCTTCCCACCAGAGCGGTACCTATTTATCTACTTGCACTTTGATGTGCTTTCGAACTGCTAGGTTGGCAGGAGCAGGGACCGAGCAACAGGAGCTCACCCCGTTGCAGGGATTCGAACCGCCTACCTTCTGATCGGCAGCTCCTAGGCTCTGTGGTTTAACCCACAGCGCCACCCGCGTCCCACCGTTCCTGGACCCACCGTTGCTGGACTACAACTCTCATAAGTCCATGCTGTCTGGGACTGATGGGAATTGTAGTCCAACAACATCTGGTGGGCCAAAGGTTCCTCAGCCTTGGCTGACACTGATTAGAAGCAGCTCTCCAAGGTTTCAGACACGGGACCTTCCCAACTGTGCATGGAGATGTTTGGGATTGAACCAGGGACCTTCTGCAGCTATAACCCTTTTAGAGTCAGGCAGCTAGTTATGTGGACTCAACAACTAAAGAAGATCAGACGCAAGGACCATCACACTTGAGTAATGCCATTTCTTACAGTGTTGCTGCACTGTATATGTTATTATGTAATCCAGAGTAACCAATGTGATGTTCTCCAGATGTTTCTGGATTGCACCTTCCATAATTCTTGACCACTGGCCCTGCTGGGTAATGGGAGCTGCAGTTCACCTGCATCTGGAGGGCACCATGTTGGCTACCTCACATGTACGCTGTGCCTTGATGCTATGGTTGTGCTGTCTTAATGGTATGGTTGTGATGTTGAGGGTCCTCTGTCATGGAGCCATCAGTAGACTGCATCTAGAAGGTTGCGGGTTCCCCATCCCAGCCTTACATTTTTTGTTTGCCACTCTGCAAGTCTTTGGGGCGAAAGGATAGTGTATAAACAAACAAACAAACAAACATTTTTACATATATCTAAAAGGCTGCCACATATGCAGCACAAAAGCATCATTTTCTTGAAGGATCTCTTTACACACACAAACCATGTGTGCACAAACCCCATTCATGATGATGACAGGCATTTCACTGTAATAATAGTGAGGCTGCTGTTTGGAATTTATAATGCGAGTGTTCCAAGCAGCTCACATCTAAATTATCTCCGTACTGCTTACATCAGCCACCTTGGTGGCCGCATTACCTCCAGCTGGGGGGCTGAGATGAAGGGATTTGCTGAAGGCTGCCCACTGAGTTGATAGCAGAGACAACATTTGAACTGGCGGCTTCGTGACTTAGATGCTGCACCAGCAATCCTCAGTCCTCACTTCCCGTGGTACTCCTTCTACTTTGGCCCCCAGCTCCCTGCTGCTGCTCTATCTGGAATTACTAGTAATGCTGCCCAAACTCAAAATAACCTGGCTTGTAGATCTAATGCTTTAGTTGAGATTCCTGCATTGCAAGGGGTTGGACTAGAATTATCAGGGGTCAGCAAACTTTTTCAGGAGGGGGCTGGTCCACTGTCCCTCAGACCTTGTGGGGGGCTGGACTATATTTTGGAGAGAGAAAAAAGAATGAATTCCTATGCCCCACAAATAACCCAGAGATGCATTTTAAATAAAATCACACATTCTACTCATGTAAAAACATGCTGATTCCCGGACCATCTGCGGGCCAGAGTTAGATGGCAATTGGGCCAGATCCGGGCCCTGGGCCTTAGTTTGCCTACCCATGGACCAGGTGATCCCTGGGGTTCCTTCCATCTCTACAATTCTATGATTCCATGAAATCTGCCAAGTTTGTAAATTCCCAAATAGAGAACGAGCTTTGCTACAACGGAATTTAATATTTTTTCAATTTTTTTTTGAATAACTGAGATCAATTATGGGTCAACTTATTCTTATCTGGGTGAAGCGGTTGTTTTATGTTGTTGGGTGATATTTGTGGATGAATGCTTTTATTGCTTTTCTGTTATGTTATTAGTGCTTGTCTTCTTTATAAGTATTTTTATATTTTCTCTGTAAATGGCCTCAAGCCTTCTGCTGACTGTGTGAAATGATGCACAAATTGAATAAACTAAACCAAACGAAAAGAAACCCGTAGATACGTCAAAATCTCGAAACAAACGCCGAACTTTCATCCAATCTTGTAACACTGGATTTTGATGTGCCCATTCCTAGAAATTAGATAGTACCTGATCTTCAAAGAGAGTGTCTGGTTGTGTTGCCATTTGGATGGAGCTGGATGGTGCTTAATACTTTCATTGCTTCTGTCAACAACAGCTGGAGATAAGGAGCCATTTATTAACACTTCGGCTCTGGAGAGGAGAAAAAGAGAGAAAGGGAGAGGTAGTGGCGGAGGAAGAAAAAGAGCAGGATCCATTAGCACAGATTCCAGCAAGATCTCTCAAGATACCCAAAAGAATTATGGGCGCTGTAGTTCACCCTTCACAGAGTCACAGTTTCCAGCAACCCTGAACAAACTGCATTGCCCAGAATCCTTTGAGGGAAATCACGTGCTTTAAAGATATAGTGTGTACACAACCCTTGTGGAACTCAGCAAAGTGAGGGGCAAAGCTAGAATTGTTTGGTGCTGCCTGCCATTGGCTCTGGCGCCACCTACTGTTGATCTCCCTGCTTTCTGCCCAATCAGTCTCAATGACTACAAGCTGCTGGTGGTAATGAGATAGGAGAGTACTGCAGGAGAGGTGGATGATTCTGGGTGAACAGAGGGATGATTAAGAAAATCTGCAGCAGAACAGGAAAGGAACAGGTATCTACGAGGTGAGTTGAAAGAGCACCATCCCACATAAAAGAGAAAGGGGGGGGGAGAGAATATGCATGAGAATGTGTGAGCATGAGTGTGTGTATGAGAGAGAGAGAGAGAGAGAGAGAGAGAGAGAGAGAGAGAGAGAGAGAATGAAGCAGATTAATAGCCCTCTTAAAGCAAAACACAAATGAACACAACATCCAATTTACGAACCTATTAGGTTTGCCATGTAAGCTGCTCAGTGCCGATCTGATTGCACCTCTGCTTCCAGAATTCCTACAGGACAAAGGAAATGCATTATTCATCAAACTGGTGCCTTTTCACAAAGCTTTTGCTCAACCGTCGGTGTGATCTCCTCTTTGCTGTAGTCTAGAGGGCTCCAAAGTTAGAAGCTTTCATTTATATATCATGTGTAGGTTCCAGGGCATAACGTAAAGGCACACTTTGTGACTGGAGGCATTTTCTTGTAATTAAATATCTTCCAAGAATTCTACAGAATTCTATTGGCCACAATAAAATATTTACCCTAGCAGGTGGACTCCAGAAGCGATGGATGGCTAACCCCCATCAGCCCAGCCCGCCCAGCTGTCACCTGGTCTCTGGCTTCCTCACTAGGCAGAAATGGATTGTATTCCTATTTAAATTACAGGGTTGTCTCTAAGATAGCACAAAATGAAAGCCACTTATACCTGCCCAGCTGGTGAAATGTTTTGCACCAGCAGAACTTCATTGTGCAATTGAATTTTGAAGCAGGTTGCTGGTAACTCTGTTGCATAGTAGATTGCGTGATCTGTTGCACAAGAGGTTTCTGCTAGCACAACAGTTGCATTAGATTACTCTGCTGTGCAACATTAAAGTGCTTCCATTTGTTAGCCCGAGAGTCCTTGCTAGAAGACAGAGAACACTGGATACAGACCATAGTAATTCTTTCTAAGCCTGCATATAAATATGTGATATATGTTTATTAATATGCACACACACACACACACACACACACACACACACACATGCAATTGCATAAATTAACATGTGCAATTATATAATATGTATAATCGGTGCTTTTTTCTAGGGGTAGTCAAGGGTATGCAGTACCAGAACCACACACACACACATATATATACACACTATGAACAATATGTTTGTTTAACCTGGAGGTAGGCTGTATGAATTGTGTATTGTTTTGTAATGATTTGTTGGGTCTCTGGACCATAATAAAGATTGATTGAATATACAGTGGTGCCTCGCAAGATGAAATTAATCCGTTCCGCGAGTCTCTTCGTCTAGCGGTTTTTTCGTCTTGCGAAGCAACCCTATTAGCGGCTTAGCGGATTAGCGCTATTAGCGGCTTAGCGGCTAAAAGGCTATTAGCTGCTTAGCGGCTTAGAAAAAGGGGGGAGGGAAAGCGAAAAAAATCTCAAGACTCGCAAGACATTTTCGTCTTGCAAAGCAAGCCCATAGGGAAATTCGTCCTGCGAAGCGCATCGAAAAACGGAAAACCCTTTCGTCTAGCGGGTTTTTCGTCTTGCGAGGCATTCGTCTTGCGGGGCACCACTGTATACACACACACACGTGTGTCATTTTGGGGGGCTGATGCTTATGTGGTCACCCTACTAAGGGCCCCTTGACTCTGGTATCCACAGGAAGCGGATGGCACAGTGGTCTAAACCACTGAGCCTCTTGGGCTTGCTGCTCAGAAGGTCGGCGGTTCAAATCCCTGCAATGGGCTGCACTCCCGTTGCTTGGTCCCAGCTCTTGCCAACTTAGCAGTTCGAAAGCATGCCAGTGCAAGTAGATAAATAGGTACACTGTGGCAGGAAGATAAACGGCATTTCCGTGCGCTCTGGTTTCCGTCATGGTGTTCCATAAGTGGTTTAGTCATGCTAGCCACATGACC